GGGAAGGTCTTTTTGCGAGATAATAAGTTCGTTGAATTTACCATAATATTGGTTTTCATGTATTCCTTTCAAAGCTGTGATTTAAAAGAAACCTTTACTTCTTGTCTACATCTTGTTCATTTTATTGTCTACCTCTTGTTTACTTCTTGGGTACCTCTTGTTTACTTCTTGTCTTCCTCTTGTTTACTTCTTGTCTTCCTCCTGTTTACTTCTTGTCTTCCTCTTGTTTACTTCTTGTCTTCCTCCTGTTTACTTCTTGTCTTCCTCCTGTTTACTTCTTGTCTACCTCTTGTTTACTTCTTGTCTTCCTCTTGTTTACTTCTTGTCTTCCTCCTGTTTACTTCTTGTCTTCCTCTTGTTTACTTCTTGTCTTCCTCCTGTTTACTTCTTGTCTTCCTCCTGTTTACTTCTTGTCTACCTCTTGTTTACTTCTTGTCTTCCTCTTGTTTACTTCTTGTCTTCCTCCTGTTTACTTCTTGTCTTCCTCTTGTTTACTTCTTGTCTTCCTCCTGTTTACTTCTTGTCTTCCTCTTGTTTACTTCTTGTCTCCCTCTTGTTTACTTCTTGACCACCTCTTGTTTAATTCTTGTCTAATTCAATATGTCCTAACCAAAGTTTCCAGTCGTTTGGACATTGTCTTTTTCCATTTTTAAGATATTTTAGTGTTTTGACAATTATAGAAAGGAGTATAAGACAACGCCACTTTTTTATAAAGAATTTTAAGGCGTAACTATTTATTTCTGTATTTTTTTTTGCTTGAACACTAGTCTGTCTCATACTATACCTAACCATTTAATACAGACTCTTCAACCACCGTGCCATACTTCTCCTGCTGGAATCACCTCATCCTTGCATTGCTACCATACTTCGCTCAGGGTTCGTGAATAATCTATCAAGGTCAATTCACATCACATCTGATGCATAACGGATAAATTTGTCAGTGATCTCTGGAGAGCTTGGATCTTTATCAAGGTTGAACTTCTGGGAAAGGTCAGGTTGCTTCAAGTTCCTTCCAACGCTAAGGACAACCATGTCGCATGAGATAGACGGCAAGCTATGTTTGAAAATACACCGGCGGATACCGATTACTCCTTCGACCTTCTTAGACGAACTTCAGCGACGAGGAAAAAATAATCGTTTTTTTTTTTCTAGTCCCAGGTCTGGACTTCAAGTCTAGACCAGATCCTGAAGGCCTCTTTATCGCCTTGATGACCACAGCTGTGTCGGTGTAGATGTCTGTTCGGCAATGCCCGATGCATTACATGATGTGTTCTGGGCTCGCTAGAGAATCCTGACATTTGGTGCAATTCGGAAAGGTTTTGGATCCACTTGTGAAAATCATTGGACGTATATGACCTGTTCGAAGACAGGAAAGCATGGTGAAGTCTGATCTGTTAAGTTGTGAGTTGGTTTTCAGGAGGGGAGTTTTCCCATCGTGGAAGGGAGTACCCTGCGCCGCAAGATTAATTTCTACTTTCAGCAACGTTTCGCTCGCGAGTTGTTTGACTCCACTTTATCTCCAACGTTCTTACAAAGGACAATGACCTCGTTATTCTTAAAGAAAGCGACTCCGGCATTTCTCCAAAACCTGCGCAGCCTAATTCGTCACCACCATGATGGCCGCAATGCACATGATGGCTTTTGAGGATTTCTTTACCGTAGGTCTTCTGCGGATCTTTGAAGCTTCCCAACACTACAAGCTCTTGCCTTCTTCGATACGGCGCAGTATCATCTGTGTGGTTCCCAATTGCCCATTTGGGTAAATGTCTAATTGCCTATTCCAGATCAACTGGACTATGCAAGATCACTATACATCGCCTGTGCTTTCAATGACCTGAAGCTAGTCTACCCCTACAGGTACTGTAACTATCGTCTTCTTTCAGCTGCCACCCGATCTTCAGGCCTTGGTCATTGGATCAGACCTTTTGTTTCAGCAAAGGCGAAAAAATTAATGCTTTCTTTTCCTAGAGATAAGAGGTGAAGTGGAAGATCCACTCGTTTATTACTTGGAACAAAACCCTTCCAGTTGGAAAATAAATCTGTATTTTGTTTATCTTTGTTTGAATTTACTTTTGTGTGTGAATCAATTAAATATGTATTTCAATTGTGGAAGAATGTCTAATGAACGTTTTGCATATATCATATCTTATATGCAATTTAATGACCGTTTCTGAACTTTAGCAAACAATATACGCCATCTATATATCATTTCTGTATTATATGAATCTAGTCAGTGACAGCGTTGAAATAAAATCATTGATTTGAGAATCATTTTTAGGGGTATCATAGAATGAAACAACGTAAATGTTGAATTCTTTGACTTTAACTTTATTAACATCCTATAACGCTATATCCCAAACTCAGGGATATTTGCGTCAATACATTTCTTTACAACATAACAAAATGTTACATCACTAAGGAACAATCCTCATAGAATAATCTCCCTAGGAAAGGTTCTACATAGCTAAGAAGTTTCAGAGCTGCTACCAAATAACTCCACAAGACCTAACACGAGAAACCGTGGTAAATCCATGTATAGCAACTTTCTTTGCCTCCAATTTGCCCAGATTAATCTATTAGCTTGATTGTCTTTATATAATTTTCTCTGTATATAAATTTTATGTTACCATTAAGTTCTATCATTGTTTTCCCTGCATGTATCCTATATTTCTGCTTGGAGAATCTGTATAAGACTAAAGGGTCTTAATAAAGCTTTTGTTGTTGTTGTTGTTGTACAACATAACAAATTGGCTATATACAAGGAGAAAGGAGAAAAAGACAAACATACAAAAGCAATTCCCTCAAAATTCCCTTCCCTTTCTTTCCCAGTTCAAAAGATAGTTGTATCGTATATCCACAAAATTGATTAAAATTTCTATATGTTTTTTTTTCATCTACGAATATATGTAGATATCCGATGCCACCAAATTTTCTTTCCCTATAATCCCGAAAAATTGGGAATTCCAAAATAATATTATATAAGCAACACATGACCCTAAAATTATTTTATATATATATAATATATATAAAATAATAACCTAGTACCAATATATAATGAGAAGTTACACTCATGGACAAAACTTAAGGAAGTGCAAAATCTTTGAGTTTCACTGGTTGTCTCTTTTTTTTTTTAAGGAGACAGAGGTAATTTTATAAAATAAATAAAGCTTCCAGGGTTGTTTTTTGTTCAACTTTTTTTTTTCAAGCTTTCGGACTTCTCAGTCCTTCAACAGGAGTATCACGATAATAAATTGATGATATATATACTATTTTATATGTACTGTTGAAGGACTGACAAGTCCGAAAGCTTTCAAAATAAAAATTTGAACAAGAAAATTAGCCCTGGAAGCTTTTTTTATTTTAATATGATAAATCAGGGAAGAACGTTTATTTCTAATCAAGAGGTAATTTTTTTCACACTTGGTTATCTCATGTGTATTCTATAAAGGTCATTATGTGTATCAAATATCTTTCAAAGTTATTATCTGAATCCCGATATAAATGCTCAAAGGTACAACTCCTTTAAGTTTTTTGTCCATGAGTGTATTTGTGTTCTGAATAATAAAGCTGTGGAGAGATGTGTTTGAGACAAAAATTAATTCTGAAATTCTATATTTATATAAGGCTATAAAAATAAAGAAGGCCTATCCTGACCAGAAGAACATGTGTATTTTAGATGGCAGAGCGCCATCTGGTGGAAAAGAAATCAACTAAACATTGATTTACCCTATTTCCTGATATTTGGTCAACCCATTTTCTTGATAATTCAAGAAAAGCCATCCACGAACGCGTTTCACACTGTTGGCGCTCGTCATCGTGGAGCAGGCTATACTACTGCGGCTAAAAATCTTTTTGGTCCCAGAGGCTTCTTGAGGGAACAGGCTAAATCAATGTTCCAATAGATGGCGCTCTGCCATCTAAAAAGCACATGTGCTCCTGGTCAGGATATTTCTTCTTTGTTTTAAATATCAACACCTGACCTTTTTATTTGTTTATGTTATTTTTTTAACATATAAGGCTATATATAACCCTTAATGCCCCAACTTAACTCTTAACAAATTTGCTACTGGCTAAATACTGCGCTGGCTGACCTAAGTTTTACTTTTAAATATTTTATATTTTATAAAGCTGCGAAGGATATTCGAAATTACATAATGAATCCGGTGGTTGTATTGAACAACTGAATGAATTAACAATTTTTTTTTTTAACTTTTAAGACTGTTTATTCCGTCTTTAGACAACCCTCTAATCTTAATCCATTCATGTATGATATATAAAGATGTCTGACCTTGACCTAAATGTGCCTGGATCATGGTTACTGATGATGACCATGATCAACAAAAGCTGGTCCCCTACACACCATTCCATGAGATCAGAGCTAAAGGAAACTCCGTCTTCACCGGTCCCAAGCCCGGATGAAAAAGGAGGATGAGGAGCAGTAACAAGCTCACTAAAAAACCTGGGTTCAGCTAACCCGGCTGATAGTACCCTGTAAGGGCTCCTAATCCAGGGAAACAGGATGAGCATCGTTTGTACTCCATGTTAGGAACCGCTACACAATGGCGTCTGTTCCTCATGTCAGAGGCGGCCATTTCTTTCTAAGTCGGCCTGCCATTGAGTAGTGCTCCCAGTATTAATGACAAAAGCAGACGCATTCTACTTCACCCAGTCATGATGGTTGTCAAAAAGACACCATCAAGGGTCACAACTTGATATCCTAATATGATTGAGTGGAGATATGAAAGAAGAAGAAAACTAAAGGAGCATGAACTCAAGGAATTTATGTCATCTTTGCACAAGGAGATAAGAAACAGCAGCAACATTTTCTAAATATTTATTGATATTACAATATAATGCGGCTTATGATTGTAGAACGAAGTTTGACAACTAGACGGCAAATGTTTCTTTTGAACGAAAAATCGAAATTTATTTTAAGGAGAAATAACTATTATTTCTAACCTTAGGGATACTTTATATAATATTTACGAACGGTAAAATATGTCCAGGGTAGCCTAGTGGACATGGCATCTGCTCGGTAAGCGGAACACTGTGGGATCGATTCCCATCCCTTGACACTTTATTTTTTCTGTTTATCATTACTCTTCACAATTCATCCTATCATACTTCATCCCTAAGGTTAGAAATAATCGTTATTTCTCCTTAAAATAAATTGAGATTTTTCGTTCAAAAGAAACATTTGCGGTATAATTGTCAAACTTCCTTCTACAATGTATTGTTGTATATATTATATTCCTTTTTCACACATTTGAATTAATCTAAATTTCTGTCATTAATAAAAATTGTTTTTTTTTAAGAAGAATAACTGCCAATTGATTGTATATAAGTGTATGCCATTTCTTCCTCACCCTATTTGATACATTGTAATTGAAATTTCTGATTATTATTAATCTTATTGTCATTTCTGTATATACCTTCTACTCAGTATACATCTGTATAAGATAAAAAGTCTTAATAAATATTTTTGTTGCTGTTGTTGTCATAAACAAACTTTTTTATTAGTATCCCATTGTATAATTATACAAGTTCATGGAGACTATATTTATTGATCAAATTGACAATCCTGGTAAGGTTGGAATACAGGTTCTGTCTTGAGGCTCCAATACATTCCAAGAGGTGGTCTGGTGAGGTCTCTTTGGTCCTGCAGATGGTGTATTGTGGGAAGGTCTTTACACCATCCTGGAAGAGTATGGTCTTGTATGGCCAGTTTTGAGCCTGGAAATATAGGTTGCTGCTTGTCGGTTCATCCCACAGTAAAGAATATATCTGAATATAATCTGATATAACTTTACAGCCAAGAACTGTAAACACCAAGTGAACGGGCAGTTTATCCACAAACGACCCATTCAAACATGTTTACTTAGCTGTCTGCGGGCACTTTTAACACCTTGTTCTTCAACAGTTGACTATTGTTGATTGTAACAACCATTTTTTACTGTGCTCTCTGTTGGAAGGCTTTTGTGTAAATAATTCAGTTTTCAAAGAATTTAGTTCCGGATTGCCTTCATAACGTGACCATTATATAATTACTGTAACAGATAAATTATCATACAACTGTGAAAATAACCCATTACACACGCAGTCTAGAATAGCTCCAGGCTTTTGGTTCATGGATACTTATGGACTAAATATACAAACTTATATAGATGATCGAATTGACAATTAAAACAAATTTATTGACAACTCAGCCAATATTTACAAAATGAGGAAGATATCACAAAATAATTAGAGAAAATAAAAAGATAACGAAAAGCGTGTTCGAACCAGGGACATCAGTTTCTAAAGTCTAAAGGTTTCGCAGCTAGGCTATTTTGCCTTATTATATAGTAATTTAAAGAATAATTAATATTTACAAATTTAAATTTTCAGCCGGGGAGTCTTCCCCACCGTACAAGTGTCCTCTTCCAGGCAATGAGGGGGTCCTCAATTCCACTACCCAACCCCACCTGCACCAAGTACCGATAGTTGATCGAATTACCCATAGAAAAGTTATAGATGTCTTTTGAATTGAATTGATTATGGTTTGGAAGTAACAGCTCAAACCTTCCCTATCATCTAGATATAATATTCACAGAATATTAAAATTGCCAAACGATTCGCTTCATTATTTTGCTATTTTGATGGTATATTGCTCCATACGATTATACAACTTATGATATATTGTTGTTTGCAGAAGAGCATTGCTCGATGCAAATATTTAAATGTAATTCTACTATCCTAAAAGCTTATGTCCAAAGTTTTCTTAAACACCATTTCTAAGATTCCACCTTTCAATGTTGCATATAAAAGCAGAATGATCCAATACAGTATTAGATCTCTATAGAAGCGGTCTGGTAGATTAAATTGACGAAACTGCTGGGAGGGTTCACCACTGATAAGCCAACCCTTCCAATATATTTTTTCATCGCAGTAAGGGCAGTAGAAGTTTGATTTATTTGTGAAAAGAAACATTCTCAGTTTGGTGTTTTAATTTGTATTATATAATTATCTGTTTAATAATTGTAAGTATTTTACTCTTAAAGGATAATATGACAAACCAATTATTTCACAAAATATAGGTAAGCAAAGGATGTTAAAAATTAACAAAAAGCAATAACGCGCCATCTATACATATAAAATAAAAGGATTTAAAAGCGCGAATGTTTCTTTTATACATAAAACGAACTTCTACTGTCCTTACTGCGATGAAAAAATATATTGGGAGGGCTTGGCTCATCAGTGGTGAACCCTCCCAGCGGTTTCGCCAATTTAATCCACCAGACCGCTTCTCAGAGCTCTAATATTGTATTGGATCATTCTGCTTTTATATGCTACACTGAAGGATGGAATCTTAGAAATGGTTTTCAAGTAAACTATGGACATAAGCTTATAGGACAGTAGAATTATACAGTATAATTCTACTGTCCTATAAGCTTATGTCCATAGTTTACTTGAAAACCATTTCTAAGATTCCATCCTTCAGTGTAGCATATAAAAGCAGAATGATCCAATACAATATTAGAGCTATGAGAAGCGGTCTGGTGGATTAAATTGGCGAAACCGCTGGGAGGGTTCACTACTGATGAGCCAAGCCCTCCCAATATATTTTTCATCGCAGTAAGGACAGTAGAAGTTCGTTTTATGTATAAAAGAAACATTCGCGCTTTTAAATCCTTTTATTTTAGATGTTAAAAATATCAAGCCGATTGGTAAAAATCAATAAAACAACAATTAGAAGTGTGTACTAAAGAATCTAGTCTTTTTACTATGTTTGACTCAACTTACTAAATGGAATTCTTCTTAAAATTCTTATCTTCTACACTCACGGATAAAACTTAAGGAAGTTGTATCTTTTAACATGTATATCGAGATTCAGACAATAACTCTGAAATATATTTGATATACAGTGACTTTAATAAATACACACGAGATAACCAAGTGTGAACAAAATTGCCCCTTTCTCCTTAAAAAAAAAAAAAAAAAAAAAAAAAACAGACGATAGGCGAAATAAAATACTTTACACTTCCTTAAGTTTTGTCTATGAATGCAAATATGTCACTGAGATCCATTCATAATTCTGGGTGTTATATATATTAATAAAGAAACGAGACAATTGATATAGAAATGCATTTATTTCTAAAAGTTACTGTACAATAACCAAAACTAAGAAATGATTGTGAAATTTTGGCAACTTTATTATTTGTTTGGTAACATCCGGAGAAAAGTGATATCGCCTTATATATATAGTTGAATAAATATCTAATATCCTTTACCATAAAACCTAGGCAGTGAGTGAAAGAGAATACCTAGCAATATATGGATTTAGGAGTGTATACATTATCCATAAATCAAACATGCTTATGTCAGTATATTTTAATATGTGCCTAGGTATGAATTTAAATATTACTTTATAAAAAAGTATTTTAAAATTAATAAATATTAAATTAAAACGTATGAATTTAAATCAATAAATTTATATTAATATGAGAAAAATATAATGTTCTATTAATGATATAATATTATAGTGTATAATAAACTATATCAAACATTTTTAGAGATTTTATTCAAATCAAGTAAAAATATTTTATCTATTAAAATTTCACTATCTTCAGTTGAAAAAATGACACTTAATAATATAAAATAAATTATATATATGAAAATTAATAATATATAATAAATAATAATATATATAATATAAAATAAAAATATAACAATAAATAATAATTCTTTTTGTATTAGATTTCAGATATTAATAATCCACAAAAACAAAAAAAAAAGAAATATATGATCCCAATTATAATAATCTTTTCAAATTCTTGTGTAAAAATAATATATTGCTCATATAGCACAGGAATGTCATTGAAATTATTTTATAAAAATTATTATATGTGAGAGTCATTTGAAAATAAAGTGTAATAAAATATTAAAAAAAAAAAAAAAAAATTATGATTATATATGAAATTATATCCTGAAATCAGATGAATAACACCAATCAAAAGGAAATAAAAAAATTCAATATGTTAATTGATTACGTGTGTAAAATATAGATTTAAATACAGAATTACTGATTGAAGAATGCGCCTTTAGTTTTGAACATTTAAGTTTAATGTTCTGATTTTGTTCCAAATATTTAACTGAAATGATATAAAATGGAATATATATAAAGATAAAATTATCAAAAATAAATTTGTAATTATTTAATTAAATATATATAATAATAAAAATAAACATTTTTGAATCTAAATAAGGACATTTTTGATTATATCAAGAATAATATTCGATTTCATTATAAATGTTTTAAGACAATATTTGGTTTATTAAGGACGTTTTAATGTATGATACCAACAAAATTTAACAACGACATTTGAAAGTTTAATGTCGAAGTTTTAAAGTTTAAAACCAGATTTCGATGTGAAATAAAATACTTTAGAAGTTCAAAACAACCTTTTATAGGTAAATGAGATTTAGAAGTGTTAAATAACAACATTTTCGATTTTTAAAAATCTTATATTAACAAAATATTTCATTAACACTTTTTGTATTCAATTTATTCCATTAAATATTTTACATTTGGCACAAATGTTCACAACTTTATCTAGAATGAGAATGCTAATTTTAATACAGTATTACAAAATATCGAAATCAAATTCAACGTACGTTGTGTGTGGTATAAGCTAGTATTAATGAACAAAATAAATATATATTGAAATTTACAAAATAGGAATGCTTCGATATTTAATTTTTTAAATTTATAATTAAAAATGTCTTAGTATTTTTGATAATATTATTTATATAACGTGCAATAATTATTTTGGTAATATATGTGTGTTTCACTAATGATATATTATTAAATAATACCTATACAGAATGTACTACAATGATTAAAACTTTTTGAAGAGACGGGTTGGCTCATCAATGGTGAACCCTATCATCGATTTCGCCAAATTAATCTCCAGACTGCTCTACTATTCTATTAGAATGTTTTTCTTTAATACTCTGTATTTATTTAAAAATCTAAGAAGTGTTTAGGCAACTGATGGACATAAGCTTATAGGTCTGTAGAGAAGCTCTTCCGCAA